TTACTATTCAAAAAAAAGCAAATGTTATTTTTTTTTTTTTCGATTGCAGTTAGCAAGTTTCCCTTATGCCCACAAAGATCTGTCGATATTTGCAGAACAGTTCAGCATTATTGCCATAGAAACTGCAGCCATAGTTTTGTAGACAGAAAAGATTTATTAGGGACTATTTTTATAATATTGTCAACGTTTATACAGTTAATACAAATACATTTATTTCAAGCAGAAATATCTGTGATTTTGATGAAAGCCAAAAAAAAAATTTGGTTGCAACCTGCTAAAATTTGATATATTTATATAATGATAATATATAGAAATTTATATAATAATGAAGAATCCATTCTGAACTGTTCAGTTTCAGCAAAAATAAGAAAAGATGTTGTGTCCTATAGCTAAACGTCTACGCCTATTTCTAAAAAACTTAATCGGTGTATCTTGCAAAAATTTCAGGACATTTACAGTTACGTATCAAAAATGTTAAGCAGAATGATAGTGGAAGGTTGATAAAATGAAAGAAAAGTTGGCAAACATTTCAAGATTAAACAATTTTTGAATGATTAAAGAAAGCTGATATCTTGACTAAGTGTCATTGGCTGAGATCTTGGTTTTCTTGAAAATATATCTATCAATTAACATATTATTCTGGTAAACAAAACAACAGTTGATTTCTCTCAATATTTGAACACCTGCTTCAGCATAACAACTAAGTTTTGTATAGTTTCTTTTTCCTACTAAAGACAAGTTTTTTTGTCAGGAAAAAAAAAACCGTTGTTTTTTACACCTGTTTTAAACACATAGTGTGCAGTTGTTCTTGAACATCTTATCAATTTTTTTGTATAATAAGACCTGAAAAGTTTTATTTATAAACTAAAGTACTTATTTAGAATTGAAATCTAACTTCATTTATGTAAACACTTTTCCTTATTCAATGATTCATCTTTCTGCAAGTTTTCAGCATCCAGTTACCTACGAAAAGATATAGTTTGTAAACTGCAGAATAGTTATATTCGAATAAGCGATCGAGCCTTATCCATTATGTTCTTCTTTAGTGTTGGGTAATTTGGATACGATGCAAGAACCTGATGGCAAACATCGATACAATCGAATAGTTTTTTTGCTTTCAAATAGCAAAACGCCAATTTAAAACCTAAAACCAATTGAATTTAGTGTTATAGTTGAAGTGGATTTATGTGTAACAACTTTAGTTTAAAAAAGCGGTTTCTACAGAGGTCGAATCTGCTTTGGCGCCTGTGTCATATTTTTTTCCGGAAACTGTCTGTTTGTGCTGAGAATGTTACCAATCGCTGGCTGTTGTCGATTAGTCAACTGCCATGCCATCTCATAATTTGCTGCTGCATCAGACCAACGTTGTCCTTGTTCGTGAACCTTACCCATACATTCAAATCCTTTTACGGAACTCTGAATATTCTTTGTTGCTTTACTAAATTCTAATCTCTGTAGTGTAACGAGTTCAAATTCGTGATCAACGTAGTAGCGAAAAAATTTTAGTTTACTTACTTCATTATACCTTAACAAAGTACGTAATACACTAGTGGCTTGATCCGTTTTATTTTGTGCAATATATATATCGGCAAGCATTACCCAACCTAAAAAATTTAAAATGACTAAGACACAGGAACAGCCCTAATTTGACTTATCCAAAACAAACAACTTTGAAACACGCTATTTTAGAGTAAAAGTGGTAAAAGAAACTGAAAATTATGTTTAAAAAAAGTTCAAAAAAATTTTATAACCAACATTTTTCAAGAACATCAGCTTCAGCAATTGTCCAATTTCGATCTAAAACCTTTTTCAGTTGTGCTTTTGCTTTATGTGTTTGTTTTAAAATTGCATATGCTTTTGCACTACCATACAACGCTGGTACACTTTGAACTTCCTGTAAACAGTGTTCAGGGGCAAATATTATCGCATATTATAGTACAAGTTCTTTTTTATACATAAAATATATTAAATAAGTGCAATAAATATCGTTGAATATTTTTTCCAGTCACATTCAACCGTAAACATCAATTTTCTTTTTTTTTTTTTAAATAAATTGGTGCTTTGCAGTGAAGAGAAAAAAGCATACGAAAGAGATTTTTACCGCACTGCAAATAAAATAATTTAGTATTAGAAAATAAACATTTGAAGACTAACTCCATTTTCAGGTCCAGCAATCTCCAAAAAATTTTTTAATGCTTGCTGTATAACGTTACGATCATTATGCTGTAGCATGATAAACTGTTCCACTATTTTGTAATTTGGATCGAGTGTAGGACGAACTTGAAGATCCTAAAATGCTGAGTACATTAAAGCCGTCGAAACTGATGATAAATGTGGTCAAAAAGTTGCTCAATTTTTAACATAAATATTATAACATAATACATTGGCATTACTCGCAATTCGTCATGTTATATGGTAACTTTAGAAGATTAAAATTATCAAATTTTTTAACAGTGGTACTGTATAATGAGATGGTTCTGAATGCTGATTTCATTCATAGTAAAACTCAAATCTATATCAGCAGGTAACAAGTGCGCTAAACAGTACAACCTATACTGAAATATTATCTTACATTTAATTCAAATAAATTATAATAAAGTAATAAAACCTTTGAAAAAGAGCAAGAGATTTTTAGGCTGAAAATCTGCAAGTTTACCAAAAATTATTCTACCGCAGATAATTCTACAGACTCTTTTATATGTTGAAAAACTTAGAATTCAAAAAAGCAGAAGATCTTTTATGCTCAGGCAAGAGTAATAGATTGTTTAACTGTTTCAATAGTAATTAACGATGTTTGAATAAGTTCGAAAAAAACAGTATTAGAACTACAAACTGCTCAAAAAATCAGTTTTTTACTGCCTAAATGACCAAATTATTTTAACATAAGCAATGTTTATTCTTTATATTCTGCAATATTTTTTTCGCTTTCCTATTATCTTACTGTTGACAGTTTGTTTCAAAAATTTTTAATCGCTTTTTTCAGGCAAAAAAACTGAAGAAAAAATTTTCGCCGATAATTGTTCAATTACTTTCTCAAATTGAACAAGAAAGTTAATACAGTGTACAGCTACTCAAACTTATACAATTTTTTGTCTCACTTGTGCTGATTAAGTGCAGTTACCTTCAAAAAACGTTCTCCCATTTCTCGTCGAACGTCCTGACTGTTGATTTTACTACTAAAAGTGATAGATAATCAGATAGCTTCAAAGAAGTCAAATTGAAAGATCTTCTTTGTATTTAAATAACAACTTCATAAACGCTCTGAACGGTAGTTTTGTTTTACAAACAGCCTAAACGTTGAGATCAACGAACAATTTCTTGCCATCCATTCCTCCAAAAATTACACATTTGCATTAACAAAGTTAGATTTGCATCTTCAAAACTGCCTTATAATGCAACTTACATTTCTCCGCCGGTACTGTTTTCAACACTATCTCCGCTAATAAATTCATTATCTGGATTCAGACATATTCCTATCATGTTGTAGGTAGCCCTTTCTCCCCATTCTAAATCTCGTCGAGCCCTATTAAAAGCCTGTAATGCTCCATTTGGATCATCTATGTATCTGCAAAAGGTTCAGTTATTCATCAAATGTTTCACTGTTTTACGGCGACTGCAAATAAACAGTTCCGCAATGAATAGTATTTGAAAATTACTTCTTTAAACTTCGTAAGGTAAAAGAATAAAGTGATGAAGTAATGTATAACTTACGAATGATAGAGTCCTTTGCAGTAATTAAAACCGGCATGAGTTGTGGCACGTGGATTTGCTTCCAAAGCAGCTTTTAAAAATTTTTGTGCATTTTTGACGTCACCTCGTCTCCATCTCAGTTCTATGTAGCGGCAAAGTACGTGATATTGATCTGATTGCAAAATACGGTATAGTACACTTCGGAAATTACCATAGTCTATGAATTATAATCATTTATCACTCGTATAAACCTACTTGGATCTTGTTCAAGAATCTGAGCAAAACGTTCAGTGGCAATATCACCTTCATTTTTTTCATACGATAAATCGGCCAACAGCTGTAACTGTGTAGTTGCAGTAATCAGTTCAAAACTTTTTGGCCTCAAGCTGCAGCCAAGAACTGAGTATGAGGAAAAAAAATCAGTGAAAAATCATAAAGAAAATCATTGGAAAAACAGAAATTTTATAAGTACAGTTACTAGACTTTATGTAAAACATAAATTTACCAGCATAGCTTCAGTGTTAGATGGCTCAATATCCAAAATGTTTTCGCACTGTTTACGACAGTTAGCAGTCCTACCAAGAGCCTTGTACAGCGATGCCAGTGAAAGCATCGCCTAGATTTGCCACACCATAAACGCTGATTATAGAAGATTAAACTTTGAAATAATCGAGAAAATTTTTATACCCTAATATTCCTAGTAGACAAAGCTATAGATTCTTCATACAGTTCAACAGCTTTACGAACTTCTCGTTGACTAAGATGCAAACTAGCAAGCTCCGAAAGAATCCTAAATGAATCTTTGCTAATCAGCTAAAGATGGCAACTGAGAGTGAACGCTGTTAAAGATCCAATAATTTTTTGAGCTTTTCTTTTTCAGTCAAAACAAAATTGATTGATCTACTGACTTAGCTGCAATACTCTTCTGTTCGTCCATATCAATCAGTTCTCCAGAAGGTTTTTCAATTATGCGTTTTTGCGTGATGTTTGCCTTATTCAATTCCGTTATAGCTTCCGTAACCTTTCCTAGTTCGATGAGTACTGTTGCCAATAGCATTCGAAATTCAACATTGGCGGTCATTTTTGTTACGTCTAAAGAACTTTTAATTATTTGAATTTTTTTGCTTCGCAGCAACAAATGGTCATCTTAACCATAGTTGTGACGTACAATTGTTCTCACCAGTTCAGTGACATAAAAAATAAAACGTGTACCATTGATTTCATTACTGTCTGTTAACACTTGTCGTAATATTTTTTCACATTTAGTGTAGTTTTTCAACTGTATCAAAAGCTTTGCTAAACGAATTCTCATCTTCTCTCGTCGACCACTTTTCAAAGCTGTTTCATAGTAATTTACTGCCTAAAATTAATCTTTGATGTTTTTAGTAGTTTTACAATCAGTCTTATTGGTTTCTGGTTAAGCACTCTTGTAAGCATAAGTTTAAATATAAAAATAGAAATAAGTCACTTACTTTTGAATAAAGGTGACAAAGGATATAAGCTTCACCAATTTTTTCAGCCAAAATGTCATCTCTTGGATTCAATTTCAGCGCTGTTTCGTACACTTCGATAGCTTTTACCGGCTAAAAACTTCTGTAATTTTTAATAAAGCCAATGACTTTTAACGCTTATGAAAGGTAAAAAAGTGTCAATAAACAACCAAAATAAAGTAAATTCTAAATTACCAACTTCCTGTATGTTCATATAGGCATCACCAAGTAGGACATAGGTTGCTGAAGACTGATCAATTTCGATCAATTGCCTAAAATTTGAGACTGCTAAAATTCTTTTAAATAAAAAGTAGAAACAACTTATCTGATGATGGAAAATTGCTGGTAACTTCAAAAAAAATAAAAAAATTTTTTTTCGAATTTAAACAATATGTAATAAGTTGGAACAAACCTGTAACATTCAACAAATTTCTTTTTATCTTTTTTGTAATTAAGATAAATATCAGCCATCTGCATGCGAGCAATAGAATAATTTTGCTGATCTGGTGGAATTTTGATCAGAATGCTCAAAGCTCCGTCGACGTCGTGTTGCTGTAGCCGCAATTTTGCATCCATTAACATTAGTTGTTGTCCCTCAAGCTTATTGTTCCAGCGATTTGTGGCTTCCATTAAATGATTATTAGCTTCAGCCTTAAAATAATGTAAAGAAAAAATCCCTCACAAATACAGCTGGTAATTCATAAAAGAGGTAACTAAAACTGAAAATGAAAAGACAGTATTTGAATGAATATACTGAGCAATCAGTGTAAATCTAATGTACCAGTCTCCCAAGTTTTTGCAGTGAATCAATCAGCTCAAGATAGATAGAGATGCGGTCGGTATCGGTAACATCCAATTTTCCACGTTTTAAAACACCGTCTTAAAAAAGCAGATAACACTTTCAATGTAAATAATTCTAGATTTTGTAATAGTCTTACTCTATTTACTTATGTTTGATTCCAAATGGCAAAGAAGGAAGACAGAAAGAAATACCGGATACAAAAGATTCCATTTTCAGCGCGCTTCGAAGTGTTTCAACAGAAGCTTCATACTGCTGAGCATTTTTTTGGATCTTTGCTTTTATTAGCTGATACAACGGGTGATACTGCATATTAAAATTGAAGCTAAGACCAAGTGAAAGACACTTCTCAGCATCGGCATAATCACCTTTTTGAATTTTAATCTGCAAAGTTCAAATCAAAAAAAGATTTGCATTTTTTGCATCTTTGAATTTAATCTTTTGCAAGACTGATCTTAACGGTAGTGTCCTGCCAAGCAGTAAAAAAAAGTTTAAAGGGCTTGAAAAAGATATAAATTTTAATTTTGTACCTGTGCCATTAAAAGATGAGCTTCAGGTAGATTTGAATCTTTTGTCAAGCAGGCTTGTAATAGCAACTCTGTTGATTCAGTTTCCATAGACAAATACTTTGTCTTTGCCAGTAAATATTCCACATACACTAAGCCTAAATAAAATCATATTTCTTCTTTTGCCATGTATCAGAAACGCTTAACTCTGAACCAAAAAACTTTTCACGAACCTGGGCAAGCAGTATGAATAAATGTTAAAATCCTGGCAATTTCTTTTAACGTTTGATCACCTCCAGTTACTGGCTAAATTTGGTAAACTTAGATTGATAACAACGCAAAAATTGTGAAAGAAATGAACAAATCTTTTTATATATTCTATTTTGGAACTTACCATTAGTGGAGCGAATACAAACAGCTCTTCAACAACATTTATCAGAAGTGCAGAGTCAAGTTCTCGAATATAGTCTATACCAAAAGTTTGATTCTAAAACCAGCATAGTGAAAAATCGATAGCTGCGGTCAAAACAAATTTTATTTTACTTTCAGGAATCCCTTTCTAATCCTGTTGTAAATGTCAGGTTTGAAAAAATTTGCAGAATCAATATTAAACCTTCATTTTAGAAAAATAGCAACTTTCTTACCTGTAATCTGGAAAAATGAGGATCTACCATCTTTCGAACACTTTGCATAAATTCAATAAACGGTTTTTTTTGCGCCAAACATAACAAAGCAGAAATATAAAGATAAAACTGAAAAACTTGGCTTATTCTTTACAGGAGCTTTCAATGATAAAAAAACTTGTATTCTTTAAATCTTTTGTTTTAATTAATTTATATAAAATTGTAGCTAATTAATACTTCAAGTTAAAATTAAGAAAATTTACAGAAGAACTATGCTAACACTATCTTCAACAATTTTTGGATGTGATGCCGTTACAAACTGCATTTGTGAAATGGCTTCCGAGATTCGATCTTCATGGATAAGACACTTAACCAGTCCTATGAAAAAAATGTCGAATTCTAGGCGTCAATAAACGTTACCCATGTTTTAAAGAGATGTTGTGACAATTATTCAGATAGTAATACCCAACAAAGCCAGCGGCGGTGGTTCCATTTGTAGCACTTCCATTGCAATTGCTCGAGCTCCTTTAACATCCTTTTCCAAGACCAAAATACGCATTTTTTCAGCCAAATACTCCGGTTTTCTGTCAATTTCTATTGCTTTTTCCAAAAATTTGCTAAAACAATCTAATCTGCTTGACAGTATCGAATAAAGGTACTGTTGATTTGCACAGTTTATTTAGACTGAAATATTTACAACTTTAGAATGCTTACCAACAAACAACCTGTAGCCAAAAAAATTTTTTTTAAGTTAGATTTTTTAAAAAATTTGGTACTGTAACAACAATAAAAGTAGTAACAGTTAATTTTTCTGCTTTAATGATTGAAGCTCTTTGATAAAATTAAGTTATAAGTTTGAAACAATAATATTGGATTATAATTACTTAGCCAATTTTGTATGATCTCCACCATTTTCACAAATTCTTGCCAAGAGTTGTGCGACATCAAAATAAAGACAATCATTTGATGGCTCGACAAAGGCAATTACTTTTTGCAGTTCTTCAAGACTGCTCCAGATCAGTTCTGGTTTTCCTTCAATTGCGATAGCATGTATAGTTTGTATTAAATGCGCTGGAACGCAGTCAGGCTAAAACAAATACCTCACTGTTAATTATTCATCAAACATTTCAAAATAAGCATCAGCAAATCAAAAAATTTTTTTGGATATGTAGATCACAGGTTTTTCTATCAAAAAATACTTTTCCACTAAAATTGGTGAAAAAGTTTTTATGTCTCCCAAAGTTAACGCGATAAAAAAAAAAGTAGCTAATATTTTTACCTGAAAAATCAGAATACGCTGGACCTGTTCTTCAATCTTGCCCCAGACACGATTAGTAAACAACGTTTTGGTATATTCAATTAAGGCTGGCAAAAAAGACGGCATTTTATTCAATAGTAATGCTAAAACCTGACATGCTTCGGTAATATTATGACGTCTCTCAAGCAGCTTAGCTTTACCCAAATATGCGTCAGGATAACCTGCAAACTACCACAAGATTACTTCATTTTTTTTCACCCAAGGTAACAGAAAATCGAAGAAACAATAACAATCTAAAAAAAACCTTGTTTTAATGCATTTTCAAAAAAATCAAATATTATTTTTGTATCCTTGTTTTCTGATAACCAAATCCAGCCTCTTAAGCAGTTAGTCTAAAATTGGAAAACTATTAGAAGCCAAAGCAGTTTGATATAGTGAACATATTTTTAACTTAAAATATTCTGAAAAAAGAGAAAAGAAAATTCAGAACAGATGTAGTAAAATCACAATTGCTTAATTAAACCTGAGCACTGTCTGGTGCTGCTATCACAGCTTTTTCGATTAGATCATAAGCTTTGCTGTTCATACCAAAAATATGGCATATAATTGCAGCATTGAACATATTCTCTTCGCTAGCTGTTGCACTCATTGTTTCAATCTCTTTATCAATTTCTCGGATAGCTTCAATATCTGAAAACTGTCATGAAACAGTACATTAACAAAAAAAAATTTTACTAAAAATTACTACAGCGGCTAGCACTTGTTTTAAATAAATTATTGTTTGTCGAAAAACAGATTACTAATTGGGCAAAAAACCGAAAAATTTTTTGGTTTTTTTTAGTATTGATAAACTATTAATAATCACCAAAAAATAGGTTTTTTACCTCTCTAAATTTCATTATTAGAACATAAATTACCTGGAACTTTGGTAGAGTTATGTGCCTGTTTCAGTGCATACAGCACTGCTAATCTTAGATCTTCATTTTGCTTTTGCTCTTCAAACATTCTGATTGCTAGTGGGAACTGTCCTGGAAAATTATACTGTTAATTACTTGCTTTCTTCTAATAAACTTATTCACTGGTTGGACATAACAAACAGCACGTGGAAGAAAGTAAAACTGATTATGCTACCGTCAAAGATAAGACAAATTGCCCGGAAGAGTAAAAGTTGCGGATCATCATTACAATTTTTCAGTGCTGTGTCACAGTACAGTGTAGCTGAACCATAAAACTTTGATCGTATGTAATACAATACAGTTAAATATGTCATTGTTTCAGATTCTTCCATAATTGGTTGCCCTGAAAAAAAAGATTTTAACCAGTACTCATTTTTTAAATAACTATACATATATCACATGGCGAAGGCAAGTAACGATATTGTTCAGTAGGTGCAACAAAAAATTAATGATAATTATTAAGTTTTTTCTTTAGCAGCATTCTGCTTTTAGACAGAATATTAACAAACTATTAAATTATTCTGTTTTTTAAAAATCACTGTCAGGAAACAATACTAAATTATTTTATCTGATCGTTATAGCTATGCTTAAAAGTTTTGACACTTGAAAAACCAAATAACTGCAAATTAGCAAAAAACTTAATTTCGGGTTTACATTTGTCACCTGTTTTTCCATCGACTTTTTTCTTCATCGTTTTTATCGCTTTTGGCAGTAATATTCAATGATTCTGACCAACTTTAATTCCAAATGTTTATATCCGTTTGCTGCATTAAAGATTGATATAACACATATTTATCATAACAGAAAATATAATATGTTTAGACTGTTTAAAAAAAAGTTTTATACCGAGTTTTTATTACCGGATGGAAAAAAATTCCTCTTTTATAAAAGATAAAAAACCTTAAAAAGTAACCGTTATTTTTAGCTTTAGAAGTTTGTCCTAATGTGGTGTTTGCAGCAATCAGACAAATTTTTTTTTTTTTTTTTT